GGAAGGGGGTGGGGGGGGTTTGGGGAAAAAAAAAAAAAAAAAAAAAGAACAAGGGTCGGTCGGGGTGAGGGTCTATTCAATTTTGAGAGAGAAAAAATTAAAATGTACACATAAATTAAAATAGAGTCTATTTTTTAACACGTAAGACATACATGAATGGTTTTTTATTATGAAAAAAAAAATGATCTAAATCCCTAATTTTTATTTTCTTCCGGTCACTTTTATCAAAATTTCTCGAAAGAAAGGGAGGAAGAGAGCAGTGACAAACAAGCGAAAGAAAGAAAGCTCTAAACTAACCAATCAAATCGAATCGAATCGGAATCACCATGGAAGTGGAAGGATCGTCGAAGAAGATGATAGCGACGCAGGCGGAGATGGTGGAGGCGAGGGTTCCGCTGGCGTACAGAGACCAGTGCGCCCACCTTCTCATCCCTCTCAACAAGTGCCGCCAAGCGGAGTTATTCCTCCCATGGAAGTGCGAGAACGAGCGCCACTCCTACGAGAAGTGCGAGTACGAGCTTGTCATGGAGAGGATGCTTCAGATGCAGAAGATCCGCGAACAAGAGGCCAAGTTAAAGCAGCCCCAGAGTCAGTCCATTCCTCTCATTCCCAAAACCGCCAATGCTTAGACAATAATCAATCATGGTTCGTCTTTTCTTCTAATTTTTCATTAATTTGTTTGATTGATTTAGGGTTTGATTCGATAGATAGAGAATTTGGAAGTTGATTGGGGATTTTGTTTAATTCTTGGGTATTTTACTTCAAAGTTTTTAGTTTTATGTATATGGGTTTTCTGCTTATTCTTGAATTGTGTGTTTAGATTGTGACATTTTGTTTGGGGGTTTAGTTTGTGGCGATTTTAAGGAGGTTTTCATAATCCAGAGCTCTTGATTGATTGGTTGTTTGTGCATTTCGTTTGAATTTTATGAGAACATTAGGCGTTGAATTCATTTACTGTAAACATAGAATTTGCTATGATTTGGGATTTTGTTTTTGTTTTATTTTTCATTTTTTAATTTTTGTCTCAAAGACCTAGTTGGAGAGATGGTCATCTTGTGGGATAGTGTTAACAACAATGGGGGTTTATTTTGGATTTTCACCTAATTGGCCCTTGCTTAAGAATATCTATATCATATTGTGAGCAGGTCTGTTGATGATGGTAACCCAAAACCAAAGCATTAGACTTCTAGTTTGGCTTTGGCTAGTTGTGTCCTTCACTTAGAAGTTGGAAATGTTAACTACTTTTGGTTTTGTTGTCTGTAAAAAGTAGGTTGCCCGTTGCAGTAGCACACGAATCTACTTACATAATATTCCTCAAGTAAAAGCTGTATTTTCCAGAGGATTTAGGAATTTGGCTATACCACTTGATATTGTCGTTTTATTTAGATTCTACCTGAAATATGTAATTTTTGTGGTATAGTGTAGAAGAACCGGAGCCTTTTTTTTAGAGTTTATAAGTGATAGACAAAGATAGGCTTACTAGTGGCTGCTTGTGGGACTTTGATTAGAGGCTTGTCTCTAATAGAGTTATTTTTTTCAATTTTCTTCAATAAGAACACGTCCATGTGATGTTACCTTCAAATGATGTTCTTTTTTATACGGAGGAGTCTGTTTCCAAAAACATCAGGTTTCTTGATGGCTGTTACTTGGCACCTGATCACCATTTGTTTATGTTTTTTACGTTTATCTTTTATTTTTGGCTTTTGCAATGTTTCTCTCAAATTTCCTTCCCTTTTAGTTATGAGCTAACCAATAACTGCTCACATTATGATTATCGGTTCTTTATGTGTTATTTGAATCTTTTATATCCATTGTCGTAAGTTCTTGAGGGATATTATCTAAGTAGATTATGTGTGCTACTGCTAACTATGTGAGATTCATTCTGTTTGTTTGTTTTTTATGTTATTTTAGGCATGTGGATGGGGATTGCTTTAGATTCATACACGGAGAATCCATTAGAAAAGAAATCAGGAGAATTTAATGGAACAATGGACTAATTTGAGTGTTTGTTGAATATAGGCAATTTTCATCTATTTGGTTCTTGTATGTGAAGCTAAATATGCGAAGTGCTGTTCTTGTGTATTGAGAGTTTTCTACATGCAATATTCACCTCTACATTAGTTCTCTTATACTATGTTCTGCAACCTACTCTTTTATTTTTTGTTTTAATAGCTTACGTTCTCTTAAAACTTTGTAAAATATATCTGATTTTTTTTTCTCTGAGATTAAGAGTTACACTAAAATCCCGTGAACTCAACTTTTTTAGTTTTTTTCTTGCATTGCTGATACGTGTCTAAATATTTTGTAATGAAAGGTTCATCTGTAGAGGTTCTTTGAGGAAAATAAACTCTTGGAATGCGTAACAGATTAAAGGTTGGGTTGCACTATAATCTTTTAACTGTTATTTTTTCATATATGCTGGCTGGTAGACAGTAATGCACAGATTTTTGCAATTGCAACTAAAGAACTTAAAATGAACTTCTAATCTTGTGGTACGTGACAGAATCAGGGTTTGGCAGATTACACCCTTTTGCCTCCTCCTCCTCCTCCTTAAACAACAACAACAACAACTACAACAACAACTTTATTAGGGCATTCATATATATGCAAAGCAATTTTACAAATTCATATATATAATTACAGCAGGATGGATGAAAATAGGAATGCATGTCTTGTGCTATATGTTCATGGAATATCTATAAAGCCAGAAGTGTCTCGACTATTATTAGCAAAATATGCCATATAGTCAGTTCTTGAATTTAGCAAATAGGTTTTGGTAACTGGTTTGTCATGGAGGTATAATTTGAGGTAGCTGTTTAGTCTCTTAAGATGAAAATTCAAGGCCTGGAACTTCTTTAGATAAATTGAATTACATTAGAAAATAAAAATGTGAAACATATTGAGAGTACTGAACACACAACAGCTTGGATGAAGAGTGATGAGTATTGAAGGGACCCTTTATCGTGATCCAATTGATCTGTTCAATGGTTTTAGTAACAAGAAGAAATGGTTTGTGCGATTGTTGTAAACTTTGGGGCCAAAAACTTTTTAATAATAAAAAGGGTAATGATGTACAACCTTCACTACAAAGTCATATTAGGATGTGTATGCAATGTGTGCCACCCCAAAAAGTTAATGCAAGGACCATCTTCAATTAAGCATAACTTTGGGCTTAAGCTTCGGATGAAATGTTGCAATAATTTATGAGGAATCATGTTCAAGTATGGTATAATGAGAATAACTGCAAGTATGAGAGCATTAGTACGAATTACAAATTAAATCTTTCAATTTATGATATTGAGGATATTTAAGAGGTATGGTAGTAGGAATATGTAAGTTACCATATTGTTCTCGGTGGAAATAATTATTGTTTCTTTACTTGTACCTATTCCTACAGTAATTGGATTTTGCTTCATAATAACGATTAGTGGTTTTTTTTTTTTTTTTCCTCTTTGATGGAAGAACAATTAGAGTATTAAGACTTTGATCGAAGATGTTGTTGGTAAGGTCAGGGATTCTAATAAAAGGGTGTGATACATCAATAACACTTGTTTCTCAAGATGCAAGCTTTCTTTAATTCATTTTGATGTCATGATTTGTCCTCTCTGTTCGGGCGAAGATTATTGTTTATGAAGACAAGAATACTTTTACTTGCCCGCTCGTGTTTGTTGTGGTTTGTCAATTTAGGCGTTATATCATTCATCAAATCAAATGATATGATATTCCTGTTGAATGTTGTATTTCAACTTCTCTTAGGCCTTGATGCAGTGGCTTTTTAACTACTGTCTCACACATTCCTAGAACTCTCTGTGACCCTTTTGCAGGATGCTTCGGAGCTGCTATGCGAATGCTTTGATTCTTTTAGCCGTATTAATGGGAACTGTTTTACATGAAACATCTATCAAACTCATGTTTCCTTGCTGTTCTTTTTCCTGTTCTGTGTTGAATGCGTTGGAATAAAATTCCTTGTTAATTGATGACAATATTTCAGAAGAGTGATTTTTATGTTTCAAGCTGCTTGTATAATTTTGAATCTCTCGACGAGTTGATGTAGGAACAAAGACAATACACCACTTTTACATTTAACGACAAATCCGTCAAAATGCGCAATACATCCCAGAGGAAAGTAAACTCCAGGTTTTTGTCCTCGTAATTTCGTAAAGGGAAATATGAGCCTCTACCCAAGAATAACGAAGGGAAAAAAATCAAAAATACCATTTAAGATGGTAAAAAGTATCATTTACTTCAATCCATTTAAAAATGAACAGTTATCATTCAATTAGTAAACAGTTATCATTCAATTAGCAAGGAGAAAATAGAGGCCAAAATACTCAATTATTTAGAATAAATGATAGGTCTTTACAAAATTATGGCATATTTTTCTTAATAACCAAATGGTTGTGAAGTCTTTACCCATTATAATATTTGGTCCTCTCAACCCGGCATGAGTACAAATCACTAAGAGGACGTTTGGTTTATGTACTCAGAATCATAATTTAGAATCATTCTCGTTTTACGTGTATTTTTTATGAGAGAAAATACTGTAGAGAACCATGAATCATGATTCAGAATTCGGGACGAATATAGGAAACAAACGTCCCCTAAAGCAAGGGTAGCATGGACTATAACAGTATAACTCATGAAAGCGTTGGAGGACGGTTAAAAACCAAGTCTCTAGTAGGGATGACAATACGGGTTGTGACACGCTACACGATACGACACGAATGCGATTGACTAGAAATTGATTCAAATTGACTTGATTTATTAATTTTTTTATTCAATATATATAAAAATTAATGACAAATAGTTTTTAACAAATTTTTTTTAATAGTTTTAACTTAAATAACATGAGAAATATAATATTTGTGACTTGTATTAACAATTTAAAATATAGATAAATAGACAAAGTAAATAAATTAACATTAAAATTGTTTATATTGACCGTAATAATACAGATCTGAGTAACATTTTCATTAAACCGGTGATACGTGGGTAGACTCGAACACGACACAAAAATTTGAGTCGATACGAACACGACTCAAATTGCCACCCCTACAATCTAATTTTGCTCAAGCCGAGTTAAGAGGATTTCACTTTTTTGGGGTTAGTATTGTCCTGTTATTTTCACGATTCGAATCACAACTCAAACTTTTTGCTATAGTAATTTTTCTCACATTTAAATTTAACTTTTTGACTATAGTATTTTCTTCTATGTGAATTCATTTTCCATCTATTCTTAAGCCGTGTTTGTCAATCATATTAATCTTGGCTTTTGTCACAAATTTTAATTGACAAAAATAATCCCTTGATATGAGTGTTATTTAGTAGTACGGATGGCCTTGCAAAGCCCAATATTCACCAGTACAACGGCTGATTTGGACTTTAAGCCCGATAGTTATTGGACTTGATAGTTGCTAGGCAACCGGAAATTGTAGTAAATAACACATTGTTTGAAACTAAGGCCTCCTTTATTTTACATCGAGTTTTTAATTTTAATTTTATTATAATTAAAAGTTCTCATAAAAATCACATGTAACTTTTTTACTACAGTTAAAAGCTCTAACATAAGTTACGTCTCAACTCGAATTGAAAACTCAAATCAGCGAACTCAACGGGACCTAAAAATTTGATTAAACAAATTTAGGTCTCATTCAGTTCGCGGATTCGAGTTGAGATGTGATTTTATGTGAGAGATTTTCACTATAGTAGAAAAAGTTAGATGTGACTTTTTGTGAGAGTTTTTAACTGTAGCAAAACTGAAATTGAAAACTCGAATTGGTGAAATGAACGATGCCTAAATTAAGTAAATAGTAAATTTTAAAACTAGCAGCTTACTGTGTAATGTTTCATTTACGACTAATAATTTATATGGTAAAAAAATCTTTATTTACATGAAAAAAAGGTTTTTACCACGTAAAAAGAAAATTTGCGTGGAAATTAAATTTTTTTACTAATCGTGAATGAACTATTTACGTGATAAATTAATATTTACTTCAAATAGTTTTAAAATATGTTATTTACTTAATTTAGTCTTATAAATATACTATTTACTATATTTTCCCTAGATAAATTATTTCAATTGTAATTAAAGGTCATCCGCATGGACTCTGTGAGAAGATCTCAGGTTTTTTCATTCTTATTCTTTTTCATGCAAGTTTTCTAGTTTGGTTGTCCAAGGAACTTATGGGTGCGTTTGGAATTGGTTCCAAAATATTTTTGTTTTTTGTATGAAAATGAAAACAAAAACGTTTTTATTTTCATTTTGGACTCATTTCTGAAAATGCGTTTGGTAGTTTTATTCTGAGATTGTTTTCAATTTTAAAAAAACTGAAAATGTGTTTGGTAATTTAATTTTTAAAAACATGTATATAATATTAAAATTAATAATATATTAATTAAATATATTAAATAAACTAAAACCCATTTCCGGCAGTCGGAGACGCGTGGGGGGAGGGGGCGCC